TAGATCAAAATTATTTCAATATTTTCTTTGAGATTTTAAGATTTAATGATTTTAAAAGCAGAAAAGTTTTTTCAATACATCAATATAGCATATTATAACTTAAAATTTTTTTTATAGCAAATCATATTGAATAGTTCTTTCAAAAGTAATTAAACATCTTTAATGGGTATTTAACTTAATTTTTATATTAGAAAGTTAGTTATAAAATAATTTAATTAACACAATTTTTAAAAAAATATTTAAATGGATTCCAAATCGTATAAAATAATTATACATGTGATTTGTATACGTCTTATGTGGTTTTATGTAAGCAGTAAACGATTTTTTATCATTTTTTAACTTTTAAATTATTCTATAAGCGATATGATAAAAAAAGTAATTACTTTTTAAAAAGCCACGTTAATTTTGGAATGACGATTATGTAAAAATATTTGTTACAAAAGTTTGAATGACAATTATGTTAGATATAAGCGTAGGGTTGCCAGATGTCTGGCTTTTATGAAAGAAAACACCGTAAAAAAATTTATGATACAGATTTGGTACTGTATTCTCCTGCTTAAAAGCCAGATTCTATAGATTTTGCTTTTTTTTTAATATTTATCTTCAAATCTTTTATTTTTTCTATTCTCAGCTTCTCTTTCAATAGATTTAGTCTGTTAAATTGGCTGGTAGTAAAAGAGTTAACAGGCCTTGTTTTAAATAAAAAAGTGCTTAATGCATTAGCATAACGCGATTTTGACGTAATAAAATAATCTTTATTTTTTTTTATAGAGGTTAAGTGTTTTAACTACCGCAATAAATTAATAACCGGTAACCAGGCTTGGTCGGGAGTCGGGTGCGATCGCACTCGATATTTGACCACGGAAATTATATTTAGTTGCGAAAAGCCGGCCAGATTTTTTAGGCGTTTTGAGAACATTTCAAAAACAAGCAAAAAAGCGCAATAAGATAAACTGGACCGATGAGAGACAGTTGAAAAAAAAAAAAATAGCTTTTAACGCAAAACTTTAAGCAAAATAAATACGATTAGAGTTTCAAAATATTTTTGAAACGTCGCTCTTTTATAATTTTTTTTTAAAAAAAAGCGACATTTTTTGTATATAGTAACAACGTACTAAGAATGATTGTTTAATAAAGAAACAAATGTTCTTCAATTTATCCAAGATTATATATAATTTTTATTTATATACTTATGTCTTATTTCCAGTGCTGGAAATAAGAGGTGAGGGGAGGGGGTAGAAGAGCTATAGTCCCGGGACACACAATGTTATGGGCCGAGAAATAGTCAAGAGGACCTATCGGTATTTTTAAGTCATTTTTATGCTGTCGCACATAAAAAAGGCCACCAAAATAATGCAGCCCCCGGCCCTGTAAAGTCCAACAAGATTTAACCAATAAAACTAACGCTACATAATTTAATTATAAATAAAAAAAGTTTTTTCAGTACCTGTTTTATGCTTCGCGTAGTTTGAAAAGTTTAACATATTTAAAACAATTCTTCTTAGTAAGATGAACAAATGAAATAACTAAATCATTAAGTTACTGTGGAAATTTAATTAGCTAGATAGAAATTAACTAAAAACGTTAAATTACTTTGTAAAGAGGAAGCGGAACTGCTAAACAATATCGCTGATGATGTTTAGTGAGTGGGCTTTATATCTTTAACTAGTATTTTACAGAAAAAAAAAAACTTTAAGTGTAAGTATAACAAGTTTGTAAGAATGGTTGAAGCAAAAATAATTGAAGTTAATAAACCAATTTCTAATACATTACATACATATAAATACATCCCTTATATATAAAAAATAAGATTATACCTAATTAAATCTATAATATATTTACAAAAAGTTGACAAGTTAAAAAATATAAATTTAAAACATTTATTTTTGTAAACAAATGTTAGTTTAAAACATTTATAGCTTTATGGATGTGACTCCGAGAATGAGCCATTGTATTAAAATAATTGTTCGTTTGATAGTATATTCTTAAAACAATTGATGCTAGAATTCTCAACGAAAAAATAACAAAAACAAAAAAAAAAGATTTTGAAAAATAATTCAACAGAATACTCTAGAACAGTCACGTAGTAATTTCAGTTATTTATTAATTGAACTAATAGAATTAGTTGTTCGTAAATTTGGCGGGTTTTTTGTGTTCGCGAATATTCTTTATTTATTTTTCCGCACTAAGACGTTTGACAACATTCAAGTTTATAAAAGTTTCATGTACGTCCGTAAAAAAAAAAAAATTTACAATAAAATGAACTTATTATTCTGCGAATAAACAAGGAAACATACATAAACTGAAATGTTCTCAAAACGCCTGAAAAATCTGGCTGGCTTTTCGCAAGTAAATATAATTTCCGTGGTCAATTATCGAGTGCGATCGCACCCGCTTCCCGACCAAGCCTGCCGGTAACTAGTTCAATTTAACAATTAACTCAAATAACTATAAACGTTTTAAATGTAAATTTATTATGAAAAGTTTGTAATGTTTTCAATTGTTATTTTATTATTAAATTTAGTTCAATATTATTTGTAAAAAAGTATAAATATATATATATATATTTTAATTATTTCTGAAATTTGTTTTTGAATAATTATTGTTTATAAATCGTTATTGAAAAAAAAATAATAATGATTTTTATTTTTTTAAATTTCTGGAGTAAACAAAAAGTATTAACATTGATAAAGAAAAACCCATGTTAATTATTTAAACAGCCATTTTGTTTTGACTAGCAAAGAATAATTTAGGTTTTTAAATACTTTTTATTTTAAATCTTGCTTGGCATTTCAACTTGCGTTATATAAAAATATAAAAAAGTTTTGTCTGCTTTGAGCATATTTTTTATACATAGTTTAGAATGCATTCGCCAGGAATTTAATTCATAAATTTTTTATGTTATTGTAAAAATGTTTTACATTTTAAACAAATCACAAAGAAACAGAGCTGTAGAGAAAAATATTTTTTAACAATTAAATCTTTTTTTTTTTAAATTTAAGGAAATTAAAAAAAAAATTAAATTAAATATAAAAGTCTTAACTATGCAAACTCTTTTGTTAATTATTCTTAAAACAAAAAACAAATACTTCTACGCAAAACTTTAATCGTGCAAACTTAAAAAAATGCTCTACTTAACTAAACTAATACTACTACTTAACTAAAATAATATAAGTATATTTAATAATTTGAATCGTATCTGTTTATAATAAAAATTTGTTTATTAAAAATTAAGTTCCTTAACTTAAACAAACTTAAAAGTATTTTCATTCTACGTATAATTACAAAACTCTTTTTTTTTTTTTTTCGTTTGTAAGCAATTTAACTTAATAAAATAAAAAAAGAATAGATATGAGATAATCTTTGTTAAGAACAAATTTAATTTATTTATTGAACTATATTTTTATTTTTATTTATATATCAACTTAATTAAAATATAGTAACATGTTAAAATATTTTAACATGACTTGTGTTATTTATAAACCATAGGGCAGCTGCCCTTATGGCACCATTGTTTTTGGATAATATTTTATTTTAATGAAGATCAGATAACTTACATTTGATTTTAATACCGTAAGTCTTCTCTTTTTCTGTGATCATCGCATCGGCAAAGCGTCGGCAAAGTCCCAAGATTTAAAAGTTTTTAAAGTAAATCTTTTGTCGTTTAAAATACAATCTATATTCGAACTTTAAACAATTTAGAGAGAATTCTATTCTCTCTATATACAAGGTTTTTATTTACTAGTTTGTCTTGTTTTATAAAGAAAAATACATATTCATTAGTAAAAAATAGAGACTGTCATTAAACTAAAACGTGCCTTAGTATTTATTTAACGGAATCTGTAATGTGCGCGTGCATAATAATCTCCGTAATATAAATATATTCAACGTAATATTAATGTCATCAGCGGATGTTATAGTCTACTCGTGATTTCTTTACCTTATAATATAACTTGATTTATGAAAAAAACTTATTGAATCACACGCAGAAGAAATTTAACAAATTGTCTTCATTCAAAAATTGCAAGTAACAGGTAATTTTTTTTTTCTGTGCCGGCCCCCTTCACCCACATAACTTAAAGGTAAAGGTATCTATATACCTTTAACTAATAAGAAAAGCAAAGAGTAATAATTAATTAAGTAATTTTTAGAAAAATACAAAAAGGTTGTTGATTCATTGACACATTTTTTTTAATATCTTGAAAAAATGTCTTGATATTTTTGTTATCGTGATAACAAAAATACTAAGACATTTTTTGAGATATTAAAAAAAATGTCAATCCTTAATTACAATTTTTTTTGCAAATGTTTTTTATTATAAATTCAGTAAAAACTCTAAAAAAATCTATATTACAAAAAACATTTATATTCTGTATTAATAAATATGGAATATAGATTTTTTAAAAGTTTTTTGCTAATAACTTGAAAAATTACTACTTTTTATTAAAAATATAGCAAAAAATTTGTAGTTAAGGATTGACAAACAATTTTTCATGTTGCTAAATATTTGGATAAAAAGTTTAGCGTAAAATTAATTGCTATAAAAAGGTAAGATATATCCCGATGAAAAGTTACAACAATTATTTTTAACGCAAATTCTTTTTTGTAATAAATATCTTTACATACCGTTTAAAAGTTAATGTGGCTTTTTTAAAAATTAATTACTTCTTTTATCGCTAATTTAAAAGTTAAAAAATGATAAAAAGTAGCTTAACCAAAACAGCTCTACGCGTACGTAAAAATCGCTTAAGGCGTACGTAAATCGCTCTAGGCATAACGCTTTAACACAAGGCCTGATTTAAGTAGCTTTGGAAGTTTGAACAAAGTATTTAAATTCAAAAACTATTTTATATTTTGTTATTAGTTTAACATTTTTAGAACATTTTTTTTTTTAGCTTAATACTTTTATAAGGTTTTTACTTTTTCAAAAAAAAAAAAAATCAAAGAAAAAAATTCAGTATTCTTATTATATTAGAATATTGTTTTAATTTTTTTTTAAGTTGGTCCAAGTTACATGTGACTACAAATGGGATATACGATGATATGCTACAAGCAGAAGCTGCTGGCATTGCAGAAGGTTACTTGACAGCTGATCATATTAGCATGACCTATCAGAACACATTGAATGATTATTGCGTAAACGAAAAAGACTTCTGCGAAAAACTTGAACAATTTTTAGATGATAATGCAAAATGGTCATCTGAACAAATATTATTAAAAACAAACTTAATGAGCTCATACTGGCAACAGGTAAAATCTTCCATTTAATTAATTTTTATAAATTTAAAATTAAGTTTTTGAATTATAAAAATAAAATTTAAAAATTGAGCAAATTATTTATAGGTGCTCAGTGTTACTTTTACTGTGAAAATTTTTTTATAATAATTTTTTTATTTTCAGTAGTTAAATTAATACTAACTTCACATTATAACTGCATCAACCATTCCTATTGCTGATTAAGGGACTCAACTTATGGCCTTTTACAATCAAAACTTATTCCAACAACCAAATTAATACTAGATTGATCAGATTTAAAGGTTTCTTTACAATAATATATTCACTTTGTAATTCTTGAACAATTTTATCTACAAACCTTAAACTATTTTAAAGCAATAAAATACAATTTTATAAAAAATTAAACACAGTGAATCTAATTTGAAATTATCTTCAGTGTCATTTTTTTTTAAAATAAAATTTTTTGTACAAAAAGCATATACGTATATTTATGATCAACTTAAATCGTTTAAAACTATTTCTATAATTTGTTTTATAAACAACAGCAACTATCTAAGTAATAGTTTAACTTATGCAGACAAACTTAAAAAGTTTTTTTTAGTTAAATTTTTCATTAATTTTTTCATTAAGTAGTAAAGTTATATAAAAAAAAGTTTTAATGTCTGCATAAGCAGGAGTTAATTTAAAAAATTGTAAAGTTAGTTTAAACTTAAAAAAAGGTCTTTGAGTCTTTGATCAACAAATTTCAAACATTCCATCTTGAATCAAATAACTTGCTATCAGACAATCTTCTTGCTCTATGGCTGACTTGC